CTCTCTATATCCCATATCAAAGATTCATAAGAAGTAAGTTGAAGAAATGAAACTCTAGAAAATTTTCTGATCAAAGCATCTACTATAACATTAGCCTTGCTAGGATGATAGTGAATAGTCAGATCATAATCTTTGATCAACTCAAGTCATCTCCTTTGCCTCGATTTTAGATCTCTCTGAGTGAATATGCACTTCAAACTTTGATGATCAGTGAAAATTTTACACCTGACTCCGTATAGTTAATACATCCAAATATTAAAAGAAAGTACAATAACAACCAACTCTAGATCTTGCATCGGATAATTCCTCTCATGTGGCTTCAAATATTTGGAAGCATAAGCTATAATTTTACCATGCTCATCAAAACATATCCCAAACCTCTCTTTGAAGCGTCATTTAATACCTGAAATCCTTCGGTACCAGTTGGAAGAGCCAAAATTAGAGCAAAGTCAAATAACCCTTCAATCTCTAGAAATTAGCCTCGCACTCCTATATATAAGCTACTATTTTATGAGTGATTCTTGTCAGAGGTGCGAAAATCATAGAAAATGCCTTCATAAATTTTCTGTAATATTTATCCATACCCATGAAACTGCATATCTAAAACATAGTAGTAGGCATTGGCAAATAAGTGACTGCCTAAACTTTCTAGTGATCAATAGAAATACCTGCACTACTCACCATATATCCCATAAAAGAAATAATTCTCTTCCAAAACTCATATTTGGAGAATTTGGCATATAATTGATACTGCCTCATAGTCTCTAATACAATTCTCAGATACTTGGCGTGTTCTTCCTCAGAAGAAGAATAAACTAGAATATCATCTATGAAAACAATCACAAATTGGTTTATATAATCTCTAAAAACTTTGTTCATCATATCTATAAAATGGTTGGTGCATTCATCATCCCAAATGATATGACTTAGAACTCATAGTGTCCATACTTAGTACTAAAAGCTGTCTTCATCACATCAACCTCTCTTTCCTTCACCTAAGAGTAACCACATTGTAAATCAATATTTAAGAATATAGAAGATCCTACAAGATGATTGAACAAATCATCAATCTGTGGCATATGATACTTATTCTTGATAATGACTTTATTGAACTCATTGTAGTCAATGCACATACACATCGTACTATCCTTTTTTCTTTATAACTAGAATAGGCGCTCCTCACGGAGACACACTAGGATAAACAAATCTCCTGTCAACTAACTCTTGAAGCTCCTTATGTGTAATCCTATATGAAACTTCAAAAATTAGGGTCATACCCAAAAATATATTAATACAAAATTCTATGACTATGTTTGGAGGTAAATTGACTAACCCCTCTAGAAATACATCTTAAAAATCATTTACTATAAGGACATAAAAAAGAAGACCAAAATCTATGCTCAAATCATGAACTGATACTAGAAATACCATGCAACCATTCTTCCACAATGTATCTACCTTTACAGTAGAGATCAAACAAGATAGAACTCCTCTAACTCCTTAAAATATGCACCTCTCATTGCCTAAAAATAATATAACTTAATTCTTCAAGCAATCAATCTGAGCCTCGTACCGACTTAACTAGTTCATATCCAAAATTGTAAAGTTTTCTATAACGATAGGCAATAGAAAATCCTACTAGATAAAAATGTACATTTTCATAAAATAACAAAATTATAATGGATTGATAAAATAATATTTCAAAACTTTTATTGTACTATAGAACTATTTTTTATAGTTCAATTAAGTTTTTATTAAATAAAAATATCAAAAATTTTAAAACCTTTATTGTAAAAATCTAAAAACAATATTCAAAATATGTATCATAGTAATATTTATAACATATAAAAAGTTACTCAAAGAAAATTTTACTATTGCAAAGTTAAATGCATTTTTTTGCTAATGGAAATAGAAATTTGATTGATAAATTAGATAAAAACTTCTTGTTTTTAAAAATTGAGATAGGTATAATGTAACCTGCCTCGATCTAAACAATATTATGAATTGGGATGATAGCTAAAAATGACCAAAAATGGCTAAAAATCCTCTCTTTTTCTCCATAAATCCTCTTCTTACATCTTTTTCCAATCGAGCCAAAAAAGTTCAATCCAAATGTTGAAACTACTATGGGTCTTCAAAAGGATTCTACTGGTGGGGAATAGAATATAAAAGGTATGATCACACTATCCCGTAGGATAAAATAGTCATAGTTTTTTACACTTTACGCAAGCATGCCAATGAGAAAGCATATGGGAATTAACCATGGAGGATAGTGGCTTTTGTCTGCACACCTCTATGTGTAATTGTATATAACCAAAGAATCATGAGATTTCCCCCATCCAATACATCAGCTTAAATGAGGTTTATTTGATATAGGTGTTAGTTTCCCATGGGCGTAAGCTCTCATAGTTAATTACATCTTAGGGCTCAGCTTAAGAAAACTCTTGATTAAGGACACTACACTATTCTCTTTGAGAGTTTAGGATATTAGATAATTTCTAGGCTTTTCAATCCAAAGGAAGATAGGTTCAACTAGGCTAATCAACATGCACGGATCATACAATCACTCGGCTAGACTAAAGTAGAGAAATCTAAAGAGATTATATTATACTCCATAAATGCATGAGAGAAAGATGGATGTGACATCATCTATGTGACGAGGATAGGTGAAATTTATAGCCTCTAAATGATAGAGACCTTACCCACTGATAAGGCATATAATGGTACACTAATACTGCTAGCCTTCGATCATAGATCTACAAAGGACGTAATACTTTACACCTTGTACTAACACCCATGATCTAACTAATGCAATGTAATCTGATCTTATATCTTTGTTGAAAGAAAGTCAGCTAAACCACTTAAACTCATAAAAAGTCATGATATCCAGTCTTTATGAAATATAAATAGGTGGTTGTATTTTTGGAATTAAGTCCAATATTTAGAGAAATCTCTAAGTGACCTTATACTTATAAATAGTGTTATGTGTTTAAGACTAACATAATTTTATCTTGATTTTAGCTTGTTTCTAATACAATGCATACTAGTCAAAACATCTTAATTATAAATGCTTAAAATTTTAAAAAAGACTTATAGAATAATTTTTTAGATAATTAGGCTTCTCCAAATTCCACACCTCATTCTCATAGGTTAGATTATCTGAACTCTACTCTCAGGCAATGAATCATTTAAATAAAGGAAAGAAGAATACATTAATATACATGCGACCAGAGATGTCCTCTAATAAGATATCCTAATGAAAAGAAATTTCCTATAAGGGACTTCCTTTTCTTTTTGAATCCCTAATATTTTTTATTAAAATATCTCATTTTACATACTTTCAAAACTATTTAAATCAAATTACATTTTAAAAAAGAAAAAGATTCTATACTCCTACACACTATAAGTAATTTATATAGAATTCACAATCATTGAAGTCATAGAATAATCATCCATTCCTTTTTAACTGTAAATTATAGGCTTGGTCATGCTTTTCTTATTATTAAGGGGTTAAGCATCTAGAACATATACAAAATATTTTATTATCTCAAATCATTACTAATTTAATGTCCTTTACATAGCTCTACATAAGCATGATCAACTGTAAAAAATCTCGTGAGCATCTAGATCATTCCTATCCTAAGGATAATCTATCATCCATCACATTAGAGAGATAAAATAGTAATTATCACATAAATCTAACAAAACAAACAACAAATCAACCAGCACATATTTCACATGCATATCGCCACATAACAAAAATAGAAAGAAAAAACCAGCCTAATTTAAAGCTAGAAGTCATGTCTTAACAAAAGTCTATATAATAGTCTGTGTGATTTGGATATGTCATAAATAGGATAATTTATTTAAAATTACTTTTTATTCTGACTTGTTAAAGGTCAAAGGAAAACTTTTATTCTAGTTTAAATATTAACATCTTAATATTCATTTTAAAGATTTATTTTTGGTGTTTAATGATTACTATATTTGTTGTTCATCAGGACCGTGAGATTTATTTCACCCTTCTTATGGCTAACTTAATAGCCTCATAGGCCCGGGTTACCCAATAGTAATCAATTTTATTAGATTAGTTTAGTTAGTTGGAAATTAAAGGTAGATTAATTGATTTTAAATGGTTGATTTACTACTTGATTAAATTTTAGGTTAATTATTAGATTTTAAAATTTCAAGCTATATTGAACATTAAATTAGTCTTTTATTTTAATCATTAATAAATTATTAACTTTTATTTTGTTTCAGAAACTTAAGTTAAATTTAAATTGTTAATCTTTAGCTTTACTTTATCTTCATTCAATTTTAAAGATATTCTAAATTATTATGATGAGATTGAATTATTTAATGAATTGGAATTTAAGTTTTATGAGTCTTTTCATTTTAAAATATTTTAGTTTAGATTTGTTCTCATTTTTTTAATTCATTTTTATAACTCTTAAATTTAATTTTATTTTTAATTAATATTCAATTAAGGAGTGATTAATATGTTAATTAGATTTAGTTCAAGCTTATATTTAAATTCTACCTTTTAGTGGTTATGCTCGTTAGTTATGGTTGATTGGTGAATGTTAAGCATAAATTTTCACGCATTTTTTATTTAGATTATTATCGATTCATTGGAAGTTTTCGATTATTGATTAATTATCACTTATGATTAATTGTGCTCAAATTAATATATATTAATCATATGATAAGGTGTAACTAGTTTTTTATGTTTGAGTATTTCTTTTCTAAAGGGAATATGCATCCTAAGTATAAGTTTTTTAAGATTCATCCTTAATTTTTGTTCTTAAATGTCACTAATATTGTATATGATGGAAAATGTTGTTATTAACCCTTTGGACATACGTGTACATGTAAATGGATTTTGGGTTTTATAATAAATAAAAGCAATCTAGTAAAATGAAGTTGCTACAAGGACCTAAGGTTGGGGGATCATGCAATCAAGAGGCTCCTAAGGGCTTCCAAGTTTTAAGGAAACTTACAACACTGAGGCTAATGCCCGGTGGTTTCGCCCACAACACCCCCTTTCAAAATGAATGGGTGCGATTGATGTCCGAATATGTTATCCAAGTTCCTTCATCTAAGTAGCTCCAACAACTCCTTGTCTATTGTTTTCCAATATTTTATCGCAAAACATAGAAAAGAAACAAATATTATATTAGAGCATGTTAATATTTAATATCCAAATAATTAAAATAAATGCAATTAAATAAAAACATACCTTTTTTGAGCTTGTACACAGGCTTTGTTGTTTGCCTCTTGAAATTTTTGGTTTTGAAAGCATTTCATATATATTTCCAAGATTCTCACCAAGGCATAAGAAGAGAGAAGTAGTAGAGAAAGAAGGGAGAGAGGCAGAGAGAGAGAGAGAGAGAGAGAGAGAGAGAGAGAGAGAAAGAGAGAGAGAGAGGTAATAGGGAAAAGAAAAAGAAAAAAGAGAAAGCTCTTCTTTCCAAAATTCTCCCACACTTCAACTTTCAAACACCTTCCAAACAACTCACTCTTCTCATGAAGAATGCAAAACAACACTCTACCTCCTCCTCCCAACCATCACATGAAACATTGCAAATCACCTTAGACTCACTTTCATCACAATGAGTAACGAATACATATGATAAATTTTACAAGAGATCCCAAATTCCTCTCCAATCAACTCATAACTAATGAAGTATAGAAAAGATACATTTAAGGGTTACAAGTATAGTTATAAAACACATGCCAAGTCACCTCCTCATTCTCATCATAGCCATTACAATGAAACCATACATACTTGAGAATGAAAATTGTAACAACTATATTATTTCATATCAAGAAACAAACAACAAACTCATTTTAATGTCGAAATCCAACACTCACAAAAAAGAGGATTTGATGCCTTTTGCTCTCTCCCAAGTTTAAAAAAAAAAAATTCTAACTATTTCAACACAATTTCTAATTGATTCTAAACAAAATTCTTATTTGAAACATGATATACTATGAAGACTTTTCAACCAAAATTGCAAACAATACTTTTCACGTAAAAAAGAACTCACACAAGTAGAGAAGAACCAATATTTGAGAAAGCATAAAGGTACTTCAAAATCCACCAACTCTTTATAGTTAAATATGCTTCCAACTATTTACCCTTTCAAATCTATCCTTTGAGCCAAATGCAAATGAGGGAAAGAAGGTTTTAATGGAAGCTTAATCTATCTCAAAAGAACTCAAAAGATTTTTTAACACAAAGCTCAAGAATTCTTCCTAAAGTTAAAAGAAAATTATATAACAAAAGGCATGCAACCTATAAATACCATCAATTTTGTTCACAAACATGAAGGAAATAAAGTTTAGAAAACATGCTCTCTAACATGTCTTAAAAAGGCTTATTGGAGAACAAAGATTATGAAAACATTCATGTATATTTCCAACAATTTGATACATTTGAAAAATAAACACTAAACTGCAAGATAAGTTAGGAAAGATTATGTTCACTTTCTTAGACGGACTTTGCATGCCTTAAGAAACCTCTCATCTTAATGCCCCCAATTTTCCAAGAAAGAAATCCAAGAGTGAATGAGCAAGAAAGAAATATAAATGCTTAAAGAAAACCTTCAAATCATCTCTTCTCAAACTAACACATTCTATTTATGAACATTCAAAACCATGAACACATACTTTTTTTTTTTTTTGAATACTTATATACAATCATTTGAACTTCATATCAATTTAAAATTGCTGCTGAAAGTTACAAGGCTCAAAACTTATGTTACCAACAATAGTCTTATCCAACGTCATTTCCAGTCCAATGCCCTTTCATTCTTTCCAAAGTTCAAGACCATGAGTGCAAAACACACAAAAACATATTGATATGAGTAAAGAGGACCGGCAAGGTGATGGATATACACAAATCATACGAGAGCTCATTAATGTAAAATTTGTAATAATGCATAAAGGCTTACTTCCATAGATGAAACTCAAATTTGATGTATATGATAAAAGGAAGCAAAAAAAAGAGAAGAAAACATAACTATCCCCTCTTCCAAAACATAAAGTCACTTCTACACAACTATTAATCTTTCTAATAGAATATATGAATAAGGTATTTGAAGTAAATAGTGTGAGCATATGTTATGGAACGAATGAAGTGTAATAAAGATTGTCATGGGCCTACTCACACTGGATATTCATCTCATTAAAATTCCAAACATACATATTCATTGAAGTATGAACATGAGTGAAGGGTTTTGGACTGGTAGTTCCAAAGCCCGATCTGATCTCTTATGAAAAGCATTTTGAGCTTTGGTATGAGGATAGATTAGGGTTCTTTGTTTCCCTAAGGGCTTCTTTCTCTTTGGTTTTATTCTTTTTTTATGGATTTTGCGAATGATATTCCTCTGTTTCCTGCGATTAAAACCCTAGAACCCTCATATGGGGTTTTGCTGGATAGTAAGAAACCTTGGAATGGAGTGTTGACATCTTGTCAGACTTCTTAAAAAAACTTTTCTATTTCTTTTGTTCAATCTTTAGATAATCTTGCTCATTTTTCTGAGGTTGATGTCGCTAAAGTATCAGAAAAAAGGGGATTAACTTTAGTTGGTTATTCTTTGGAAAAGAGACCTTACTTTGAAGCATTACATACGATAATGCTTAAAACTTGGAAGTTGAAAGGAAATTTAACTCTTCTTTCTTTAAGTGAAGGATTTTTCTTAATGAAATTTTCTTGTTTTGAAGATTTTGACATGGTCTGGTATGGAGGGCCATGGTTCTTTTTTGGTAAATCTTTTATCTTGCGTTTGTGGTCACCTTTATTTAGGCCAACGCGAGAGGAAATTGTTGAATCTTGAATAGGTTGTTAAACCTAAGATAATATCCCAATGCTAATTAAGAGGGGGAATGAACTGGTAATTTTAAAAATTCTCTTGGATTTTAAAATTTGAAACCAGTTGATGATTCATAGCAAGTTAATTGATGTTTTTTTAAAACAATTTTTTCAACCACAAAATAAAAATTGCAGTAAGCAGCAAAAATTTTAACAACATAAAGATTTATAGCGGTTCAGTCAAACATGACCTATATCCACTCCCTGAAGACTCCCTCTTCAGGTATTGCACTATTACCAAAGTGACTCTCCTTTTGCCCCCACAACAAGGCGGAGAAGCCTTTATAAAACTCTCTTCCACGAATCCCCGGTGAGGTAGAGAATCATTATCCTTTCACACTCTCCAAGTGTAGATAGAGAACCTTCTTCCTTTCATACCCTCTAAGTATAGGCCAGGCAGAGTACCTTCGATTGTTCACACTCTCCAAGTATCAAGAAAGAACCGTCATCCTTTCACACCCTCCTAGTGTAGGCAGAGAACCTTCGACTGTTTACACTCTACAAGTGTCGGCAGAGACCATGATCTTCTTCAAAGATTTTCTCACGAGCAATCTAAAAAGATAAGAGAAAGAGTTAAAAATATAAATCACATAGATATCCTTACCTTTGAGTAATTTTGTGAACTCTTCACACTCCACTAGTAAGAAATCTCTCTCAAACACTCTCTCCTTCAATTGCCCTTGAAAAATCATGAAGACAATATATTTTACGTCAGTTCTTAATGGACCTTTTATATAAAAGACATGAAAAATCATCCAGAAAATTAAAATTTTTAATTTTGAGCATACACGATCGTACAATACGATCAAATTTTGTACGAACGAATAATTCAAATACTGTTGCGTACGATCTTGTTGTGAATCGGTACGAAATCATTTCATTCTCGATCATCGTCTAGTACGAACCAAGTTTGTCTAGGACGAATAGTTAGAAAATTTCAAAATTCATTAGTACAAAATGTCGGGATGAAATGGGACCTCACATTTTTTTACTCTAGAAGGCATGCACGAACTGAGTTCGTATAGTACAATCCATACTTAGAAAAATTATTTTTATTCCACATGGAACCCGAGAAGATCATAATCATAAAAGCATGTACGAATTGAGTTCGTACAGTACGATCCATATTTAGAAAAAAATTTTTTATGCGACCTAGAACCCGAGAAGATCGTACTCGTGAAAGCATGTACGAACTGGATTAGTACATTACGATACATAGAAAAATTATTTTTCCGTGACTTGGAACCCGAGATGTTCGTACTCGTGAAAGCATGTACGAACTTGGATCATCCCGTACAATCCATACTTAAAAAAAATTGCATTTCTGTTCGTTCAACTGCTCATCGAGGAAAATAACTGACCAAATCGTCCCATACGAAGTGATATCGTACAGTACGATCAGTTTAAAAAATATGAATTTTAAACTCTCCTCCACTGTGTGTGTGCTTAATTATTCAATAACAATCACACTCTCTCAGACTCAATAAAATGAAAAATATAGACTTCAATTATAATAAACTCTAAACTAATCTTGATTTGAAGTCTTTAACAATCCGGAGTATGATTTCTTTGAAATATTAGTACACACAAGAGAAAAATAATTCTTTCAAAATATATTTAAGAGAAGTAATAATCAAATCAATAATATTTAGAATCATATAAAATATATTTGTTGCATGAATATCAAACATACAAAATTAAGTAGCAAATATCTCAATAATCTTCCCCTTTTTTATGATGGCAAAATAATTCTTATTTGAATAAAATTGAAAATCCTAAATTTCTCCTTAACTCCCCCTAAATGAATAAGTATGTGAATATAAAAAATTTTTTTATTAATAACAAATCAATTTTTTTAATTTTTCATAAAACTCATAAAACACTTCTAAATAAAAAAAATAAAACAACTCTAACGAACATTAAAATGCAAAAATCAAATGCAAACAAATAATATTTCTCTCTTTTTGACAACAACAAGAAGAAGGCATAATAAAAATAAAAAAAATGTAAGAAATCATATGAGAAATCTTTGATAATTGAGCTTGAAAGATATTGAATTATAATTGCAATAATAAAATTAATGTTTATTAAAGAAAAATAAAGACTCATAACATTTAAATTAAAATATAATATAGGCAAGATAAATATATCAAGATCATGAAACAATTTAGACAAATAGATAAGGAGAATTATTATTGAAAGTTCGTTAGGGAGGTTAAGCCCTATAGAACTGGCCCAAGCTAACCAAGAGGGGGGTAAATTG